AAACAGCTTTTTATAAGGAAAAATAATAATAAAACAATGTCTTTGTCTGCAATGATTATACATGTTTTCTATTATTGTCATTAGTGATTATCTCCATTTCAGCTAAAAGATTTGACAAAATCCTTCAAACTGTGCCTTTAAAGGAACTGGTCTTGTCTGCTGTTCATCCGAACACAACGGTCGTTCCCGTCAAGTGGTTACAATCCCACCTACATAGCTTTCATGTTAACGTGACAGAGCGTAGAGCTGCTCGGCACAGCGCTCCAGTCGGTCCCGGTACTCCAGTTTGCAGTAGTTGCCTTCAGGGACCCCCTCGGTGCCGTACAGGAGACCCCAGCAGAAGCAAGCGATTACTGCTGTGCTGTCACTGTCGCCTGAACAGAATCACACAGACGGTAAATTAGTGTCACCAACACTAAAGTGGYTTTTATCTTGAAGCTAAATATCTGGACATTTTGTTTAAATGTAGGAGTTGTTTTGTGTTGTTTGCTGCAGTCATGTGTTTCTTCTGTTTCACACTGGCTCAGTAAAGCCTGGACTTGTTTCATTTTAGTAACTGTGAGGAAAAAGTTTTCATTAGCACATTCAGCAACACAAAAAGGAATCTTTAGACAGGGTGGCTGATGACTGAGAGCTCACAACTTGCTCAACAAACACTACAACTGAAGCAGTCGCAGGGYTTTGTCGTTTTTACAACCTGAAGGTTAGACTGACTTTATTATCCAAACATTGATAAAAAAAATKAGTTCAAAATGTTTAAATAAGTTTTAGGGCACATTTCAGTACAAAAGCATTCACAGGACCAGTAACGGAGAACATATGTGACCCATCACATCGAAATGAGGATTAAGTCCAAAAGTGGAATGTGGAAAAATAGGTACATGTAGGGTTTTGATTTAAACGTGTGCAAAAGTTGCATATATTTATTCAAAATATAATGAATAAATGTCTTATCAATGAATCATTTGAATGAAGTGCCTGAAAAATAGGCACATGTAGGGTTTTGATTTAAATATGTGCAAAAATTGCATTTTGCCAAATATAATGAATAAATGTCTTATCAATGAATCATTTGAATGAAGTGCCTGAAATATAATCCTAAAAAAAAAAAAAACTTTTTTGAGCAGTAGCAACAAGAAAAACGATTTTGAGGAAAAATGACTTAAAATTTTGAATTTTTCCATTTGTTTTTGTTTCTTTCCAACTGGGAAATCTTAATATACAAATACCTATATACAAATACCAATTCCTCTTTATATTAACATCAAAAATTACTCATCCACTTAAGATATCAGAATGATCCAAGTATCAAAATGTAGCTTTTAAAGCCAGGAATCTGAAAATGTAGTTAGGTCATTTTGAACAAATTTGACTTAATCCTTATTTCGATATGATGGGTCACAAATAAGGTTTAAAGGGTGTAGAATCTGAACTAAAGAAGATTTAAATAATCAAACCACTGACCTCCATGGAAGGCAGCTCTACTCATCAGTTCCTCCCAGTCAGAGCCGGCCCCCAGCAGGGCATCCAGAGCGATCATCGGAGCATCACTACCGCAGGCTCCCGCCCAGCCAGACAGGCTGAAGGTCTTGTAGATCTTATCTCTCTCAGCTGGGCCGTAGGATGTMGGCCAAATCAGCGGTCCCATTCCATTGGAGAGGCCCCTCTGATCCAGGTACCTGCAGACAGACACCATCTTTTTACATCAAAGCAGAATTTTAACCATCATAAAATATGATTAGGGTTACGAGTCAGGCACGACCGGTTCCTTATTGTTACATCTTAAATAATTAGTCTATCAGTCATATCTCTATGAAGCAGACGTCAGCTGCTCGTACCACTGCCACTTGTCACAGAAGTAGCCCCAGTCTTTCAACGTCTCCTCCACAGCGAAGCCCCGATCCTGAACGAACTTCCTGGCTATGGGACAGGCCTCGYTGATCAGGCCCAGTCCCCAGGTGGTGATCGGCCTGCGCTGGACGGCGTATGAGGCGAACARGGCCGACGCTACGGCTCCCAGGAAACCAGTGGGGTGGTTGTGCGTCATCCTGCCCGTCTCCACTGCAACAGCCACGAGCGACAATAGCTGGTCAGGCCTCGGATACCTGAT